AAAGGGCTGGTGGATTAGGCCCTGAGTTCAAGTACCAGTACTGGAAAAAAAAAATGCAATGGAGCATGCTGGAGGCATTGCTCAAATGGTAGCGTTAGCTTGCCTACCAAGTGCTTTCAAATCCCAGTACCACCGGGGGTGGGGGTGGGGAACACACAAAACATACACACTGCACTCTGAAGATACCTGGAGGTTGCACAACTCTAGTCTAACAAAAACAATAGTCAATGTTGTGTGTATGTTAGTAAAGGATGTTTTATCTACAGCTATATTGAGAAATAGGTCCAATACTAACTCCTAAATTAATGTCCTCTTAAAAATCTAGAAGTGTCATTTGCCTTATTACAAACGCTAAAGAACTTAATTTGAACACACAAACAAGAGGAAACACCTTTGAAGACCAGAAGTAAGCTTAAAATCTTATGTAACTATATACTTAAAATTGGCTAAAATGGTAAATTTTATGTTATAGATAATTTACCACAATTTTTTAAAAAAGAATCATGTAAGCCCAGTGATGATTGCTCACTCCCATAATCCTAGCTACTCAGGAGGCAGAGATCAGGGGGATCAAGGTTAGCCAGCCTGGGAAAAAAGTTCATGAGATCCTATCTGGAAAAAAACCCATCACAAAAAAGGGCTGGTGGAATGGCTCAAGGTATAGGCCCTAAATCCAAACCTCAATACCACAAAAAAAAAAAAAAAAAATCATATATAAACTCTACTCCGAATCCTGGTTTCCACTGGAAATATATACATAGATATCTCTGTATCTATATATAGGTATGTAGATATATATATATAGATATATATCTATATATATATGAGATTACGTTAAAAGACGTGAACTCATTAAATTGAACATGTTTAGTTTCTCAGTCATTGAAAACCTTTTACTAATTTGAATTAATAGATGCTTTCTGATCTCTTAAGGAAAGTGTTTATTAGATGCTCTCCATCCCCAAGGAGGATATGAGGAAATGAAAAAAAGCTTTTAAATTGCAGCAAGGGAGATTTAGTTTTGACATAATTCTAACTAGAAAAGTAAACACTACAATAAGGTACAACTCCAATCTATGCCCTTAAGGATAAAAAGAGTTAAGACACATCTATTTTGGAAGGGTCAGATGAAACTGCAAGAATCTTCAAAGCCAGTTTGAAAGCCAATTTTAATTTCAGAGTTCCACATTCAGGTCCTCCTGCCTCAGCCTCCCCAGTAGCTGGATTACAGATATGCACCATGCCTGGCTAGAATTACAAATTCTTTATTCCCAGCCTAACAGTGCCTCTGCAAGGCATTTCACCCATAGGAAATTATACTAATCTACAAATCATTTCAGTTAGGCTTTTGCCACGCTAGGGATTGAACCCTGGAACTTGTGCTTGTTATGCAAGTGTTCTAATCACTGAGCTACATCCCCAGCCCTCAGTTTGGCTTTTCTCACTCCTTTGTATCATGCCATTTACTCACTTAAGAACTGAAAACTTACTATCTTTGTTAAAATGCAATTCCATCCATCTCCAGCACCATGGCTGGCAGCTCAGATATAAGCACTACAAAATTATTCAAATGAAAAAAAAAAGTTGGCTGTAAATTAAGTAAATAGAAATATCTACATAATTTTGTCTATCTTAGTCAAAAATAAATTTTTGGACACACTCAGTGGTTAGTACAAGGCTGTAATCCCATCACTTGGACAGTTGAATAAGGAGGATATGCCTGGGCTACACAGGGAGATAGTGAGATCCTATCTCAAAATAAGTAAATAAACAAAAGTATATCCTTATAAAAGGATAAATAATTAATAGGACAAAACATTCAATTTAGTCAGTTTTTCAATAATGACAACAAAAAAACAAATCTTTACTCTTTTTTTAAACAAAGGCACAATCTTTCCAACTCATGTTTCATTTTAGAAGACTGGATCTTCATTTTAAAATAATTATTTTTAACTTAACACATTATTTTTAAGTCATTAGACAGCTGAATGGTGGTTATTATAACTCAGAGCAGACATTTATGAAGTCACAGTAAAGTTAATCATCTTCAATTCAAAAGGTTAACAACCACAGCAAGTTCGGAAATTCGTATTAGCACTATCTCAACAGTTGCCAAAGTTAGACATTAAATGACAAATTTAACAACACACACATACTTTGATCAAGTATGTATATATGCCTATCTGTATAAATTTAATTAGATGTCATTAATTATGATTGGCATGTTTTAAAAAAATGTCAAGATGAATTTAGACAAGTCAACATAGGAATGAAAGTACAGAATTGGAGCTAACTAGCTTTCATGCCTACATCCTAAAAGTATACTGACTTCCTACTGCTTTAAACCAGATCACAAGTGCTTGCCTAGCATGTGCACAGCCATGGATTGGATCATCAGCACAGGAAAAAAAAAAACAGGAGCTTGGAGGTTTTTCAGTTTATTACCATGCTACAGGTCCTGAATTTGCTCCCCAACACCTGGTTGGGGGGCGTGGAATTTTTAAATGGCTCACTCCTTTGCTGAGAAAAGTATCTTGTTTTAGATTAAGGTAACATGAGATCATTATACATGTTACTCCTTGTCTTTGAACTTAATAGCATTTTATTTAAAAACGAAAATAGAATTTTTAGAACCTACCTGTATTTTTAAGTTAAGCCGGGCGCTGGTGGCTAATGCCTATAATGCTAGCTACTTGGGAGGCAGAGGTCATGAGAATTGAGGTTCAAGGCCAGCCCTGGGCAAACAGAGCTTGTGGAGTGGCTCAAGGGAGCGCTGGCCTAGCAAGCATAAAGCCCTGAGTTTAAATCCCAATACTGCCAAAAAAAAAAAGTATTTTTAAGTTATTTTTTCTTATCCACAGTTCCTAATTTTTTTATTATTATTTTTTTTGTGTGTGTGGTACTGGAGTTTGAACTCAGGACTTTGTACTTGCTAGGCAGACAATCACTTGAGCTACACCTTCAGCCCTATTCCTTACTTTTTACAACACCTAACCTTCCTATGCTGAACTAGTATAAAGGGGAAAAAGAGCTGAGGGTGGGAAGTAGACAGGCAAAAGATCAACTCACCTCAATATATGACTACTTCTAAATTACACCAGAGTAGTAACTGTTCTCAGTGTACTCAATAACCCCTGTCGCTCTCTGTTTAACCACTACAGGTTGGTGGTAAGAAAACTATAGTAAGCTGTCTTGTCTTAGATCATCACAACATGAAAGGTACAAGAAAGGTACAAACAAAGGGCTGGAGGTACAGTTCAGCAGTAGAGTGTTTGCCTAGCATGCCGGAAGCCCTGGGTTTCCAACCCCAGCACTGCAAAAAAAAAAAAAAAAAAAAAAGATACAAGCAGAGCTCACAGATGAGGGCTGTGGAGTGGCTCTCCTGGCACTCATGCTGCCTGTCAAACATGAAGCCCTGAGTTCAAACTCCCCCAAAAAAGATATTCTTCATTCAACAGCACAACACCTAAAAATTCAGTCTCACTCTTGCTATAAAGATTGGCTTTAAAAATAAAATAGGACCTGTCATAGATGCTGCACAGAAAAAAAAAAATTCACATACCACCTTTGGTTCACGACAGCTACAAGGCTCCCATTAACCCATGAGCATCATCCTGGATAGGACTAGGTGAGAAATGGAATAAAAACTAGGCCTGTAGTTTCTTTTCTGGCTTTGCTTGAGACATTTACTGAATGTGGAAATAAAGGGGAGTTTAACTGTGCAAGGGATGCCCAGACAAACAAGATTCCACATGTCAGGGGACTGAAGGCCCAACACAGAGCAAAGGGCATTCACCCCATTGCTTTTCACCCAAAGAAAGATCAGCTGCTTCACCTGAAAACATTTCTCCATTCCCTCCCTCACCCTGAGTGAACTCGACAACCCCTACTCGGAGAACAGAGGGAAGTCTTGCTTATCAAAAATACCAAGTGCTGCTTCCAAAGCCAAGAAACACTCCTTTACGTGTGATAGTCTGCCCCAATTCAGTCTTCTACAACCTATCTGAAAGCCAAAAATTCTTGGTTCCCAGCTTAAGTTGTCTAGTTTCCCAAAGGTCTAACAACTCCATTTTCTTTCAAATAAGCCCCTCTCTACATTCCCCATATTCTAGAGGCCTTTCTCCAAGTTCTCTGTCCCTTCAAAAAGTTCCCTCCCCAAGATTATCTACTTTCCCCCACTTTTCCTAAGGTTTTTCCCAGTCCCTGTTCCCAGTTTAAACTCCCGGTCCTCCATTAGCAGATACCACTTATCCCTGACACAATTCTTCAAATAAGCCATCTTTCTCACTTGTGGACAAAGACAGACAGGTGCAAAAAATAAATCCTCTTTTGCAACCCAAATCTCATTGACTTTTGATATATATAAGGAATATGGTTTAAAAAAGAGAGAAAAAAGGTCATCTTTCTCACCATAATTATCATTTGTCTTCCCCCAAATACTCCTTTTTCCTTATCTCTCCTTGGATAGAAACAGACACACACACAATTTATCTGTTCTTTTCAGCTCCTAACTCCCAAGTCTCTCCCCTGCCCCGCGTTTGTTCACAGCACCTAACAATCTTCCCCAGAGTTTACCTCCAATCCCGTCATCCTCAGCCCGACTCCAAACCCCACCTTTTTCCCACTCCCAAATTTCCTGTGCTTTTTACTCAGTTAACACCATATGCTTTTCCTCCCAGTCTACCCACTATGCCTCGATCCCAAGTCTTCTCCCCACTTCCCACGCTCCTCGGGCCCTATAATTCTCTGCAGGACCTCGCGAACTCCCCGCCGCCCAGTCTCCCTTCCTCCCCTCCAACCTCTTAACTCTCCTCCAGCCCCGCTCAGCCCCCAAATTTCACCCCTCACCCCTGGAGCTCCCTTGCTCGTCCTCCCCGTGCCGGGAAGGAGGGTCACCTCACTGCCCCCCCAGCCCGCCCCGCCGCGGGGCTCGGATGTCCCTTCCCTTCCCTCGGGGCCCGAAGGCCGCTGCCAGCGCTGGCGCGGCGGGACAGGCTCACCAGTTGGTCATGTCCAGGAAGAAGGCGCAGCCGGCCGGGTTGAGCTGGAAGCCGAGCAGCCGCTGGAACTCGGAGATGAGCACGTCCTTGTCGGTGGTGCCCAGACAGCTGAACTTCTGCATCAGCTCCGGGTCTAGGTCCACGTCCATGCCCTCCATGGCGGGACCGGACACCCGCTTCCCCGCCTCCTCACAACCGAGCCGCCGCCGCGCCGCCGGGCCCGGGAGGGGCCCCGCTGCTAGCCGGCGCCGCGACCCCGCTCCTCGAGGTAGGCCCCGGGCCTCTCACCGCCTCATAGGGGTAAACTCACTCAGCCACTCACTCACTCCCGCGCTCCCCCCCCTCCCACCCCCCCCAGCGCCACCGCCTCCGCCGCCGCCTCTCGCTTCTCCGCCGCCTCCAACCTCCTCCCGCGCCGCGCCCACTGCGCACGCGCCGCCCTGTAGGCCCCGCCCCTTCCTCTCTCGACGGCCGTCCTCCTGTGACGACACAAACCCGTGACGTCTCCCGCGTGACCTCATCGAGGTGGAGCAAGCGGGCTGGAAGTGGAAAGGAGGAAAGAGCTGGCGGTGGCGGGGGGTGGCCCTTTGGCTAGAGCTTCTCCTGCTACCCCGTCCCGCCCCCACCTTCCAGGGGAGGAGTAAAAGCCTGGGGTTGGCGGGAAGCTCCAGGATCTTCGGCTGTGACAACCCCACCATTTTACAGGTGAGGTAACTGAAGGCCAGACTAGGACAGAGACTGTGGCAAGGTCAAGTCGCAAAGTGCACGCAGGAACCAGCAGTTCCAGCCACCGGTCTGCCCCTCCTTTGGAGAGCCACTTTCCCAAAGGGACGCTGCGGTAAATCTTTGGTCCCAGGCCATCCTTGTGACGATTACTACAGTTTATCCGTGCTGTTTGTTATGCAACAGTAGCATCGCATCTCCAGAAAATAAAAAGAGGCCTGCATACAAACATCAATCACAGGTCCAGATAAACAACGCCCACTTCATCAGGACCAACCCTCTCAAAATACAGGTTAAACCTGGAGCATTGGGCAAACCTTTAAACTCCAAAGCAAATTTTGGTGTCTACTGTACAGCTACCTGCCTATTTGACCAAGGTCCCATTTCAATAACAGGATGAGAACTACAGACTCAGGTCTACCCCTTCTGTCAGTAAACATTTTCTAAATATAACTTGTAGCCAGTTACTACTAGGTCCGGGGTGGGTAAGAAATGGTCTCCTACCTTCGAATAGCTTTCTAATTTACAAAAAAGAAAAGAGATCCAGAGTGCCTACATACCTTCTCCAAAAATTAAATAGTATTGTGGCAGTAAAGGGGATGATTGTGGGGTTGGTGATATAAGTAGTCAAAATTACTTCTCCAGTGCCCCTTCTATTTTATTTCCACTTCCTGTCCTCTATTAAAATATTGAGTATGTTTCCTTTCAGTTTCTAGTTCCCCCACACACACAACTATCTTATGGGAAACACCTTTAATAGCGTACAGTAGTAAATAATACTTACAAATTCATACAATATAGTAGTTTCAAACATTTTATAAGAAACTATTCTTGACCTCTGAGATCTGTGTGGAAGTTCGAATCATTGCCACGCCCTAATTTTTAGGTGGTCACAATGTTTGAATATTTCACATTAAGAGAAATTCAGTCTCTATGACAATTGAGTAAATTGCCTCAATCATATGCATAATGGAATGGAAACAGAAAAATTATAAATGGGAATGTAGCTCAGCGATACAGCTCTTGCCTACTACACAGAAGCTTGACTTTGATCACCAGAACTGCAAAAAAGGGGGAAAAACATTAAAACCAGAAAGAGAACCAGGCATGGTGATGCATGCCTATAATCCTAGCACTCAGGAAACTGAGGCAGAGGGAGTTTGAGGCCAGTCTAGGCAACATAGTGAGATTAAGGCCAGCCTGAGCTATGTAGTGAGACCCTGACTAGAAAAAAGAAAGCTGTTCACAAAATATTCTTCGGTTATAAAAGGCAGAACAAAACAAAATATTACATATGATCCATTTTCTAAGAGAGATAGATAAATGATATATTACAGTGCATTGCAGTGACAGTCTCTGAGTATGAAGAATGATGGATCTTTTTTACATCTTTTAATCTGCTTGTTTTAAATGATCATATAATAAAACATAAAGAAGCACTTCATTCTGAAGAAAAGAAAATTGGATGACCTGAGGGTTTGTCAAACATGAGTTCACTTCAGTTCTTTACATTTTCCCTGACAAGGGAGAAAACTAATAAACTGCAAAGGAAGCAGCTAACAATCAGGTGGGCTGTTCAGTTGAGCAAGCAAATGTCTGCTGATTTACTACAAGCAAGGCTGAGTCAGAAACAGTGGCCCAGAAAAAAAGCTCTCTTCCAGGCCAAGCGCTGGTGGCTCATCCCTGTAATTCTAGCTACTCAGGAGGCAGAGATCAGGAGGATCGTTGTTCAAAGCCAGCCTGGGCAAATAGTTCATGAGACCCTATCTCAAAAAAACCCTTAACAAAAATAGGGTTGGTGGAGTGGCTCAAGGTGAAGGCCCTGAGTTCAAGCCCCAGTACCATTAAAAAAAAAAAAAAAGAGAGAGAGAGAGAGCTCTCCTCCTTATGTTGTGTGACTGTGGGCAAATTATGTAGTTTCCCTCAAGACTCAAGTTTCCTTATCTATCCATAAGGAATGTTGCAGAAAGATCATGGAAGTAGAGCAAAATATAATACAACTGATACTGTGTAAATATAACCACAGACCAAAATTTCCAGCTGTTTATTTCCCAGGACTGCAGGTTTAAGTGAGGTGGGCATAAGAGCTCATAAATATAAAACATTAAAGTATTAGATCTTATTGAGAGAAACAAGGACATATACCTGTCTAGAAATAACTACATAAAGGCAGCCAACAGTACAAGGCAGCCTATATTCAAGTTCCAAATGAGGAGTCCAGGAGGCTATAGGACCCAGGAAGAGGGAAGAGGTGAAGGTGCGCTGAGATGCCCTGAGGTAACTTCTAGAAGATCTGAACTCTAGCCCAAATGACTCTTCCCAGGGACTGAGGAATGCTTTATGGTGAAGTCATTTAGGAGTGTTTAACAGTTTTAAGACCCTGGCTGTTCCCTGCAGTCTCATTTTTGTGTTCTGACTACAAAAACATACCTAAAAGAGCCTCCAGGAAAAGAAAATACAATCTCAGGAGTACTTGAGAGTTTGTTTTCCCTGAAGAGCAGCCTTTCACTTTAAACATCTGCCCAAAGCATGGTGGGAAAGGATCAGAACCTCCATACTTTGGGATTTTTTCCAGTTCCTTATGTCTATTACCCTATTCAAGATGGATGCACTAGCCTATTTATACTATCTTTTCTCCTGCACAGAGTGTCTGATGCTCTGTGTCTCTTTTTTCCTACTGTGGTGAATAGAACAATGCAAAAGAAAGCTCTTTGGTCTAGGTAACATCCAGAAGTAGTCCAGTCTTCTTTTTCCCTTCTCTGTTTGGACCCTTTAGTTTGCCAGAGCTGAAAATTTTCCAAGTAAACACTAACTCCTTACCTCTCCCTCATGGAAGAGGGGGTAATTATTTTTACTCACTCTACTGTCTCCCAATAAGTACAACATCCTGCTGTCTGCATCTCAGGAAAAGGTGAGACAAGAAAGAGAAAAGGGGAATAATTATTTAATGAACCCCTCCAATTGGTCAGCTATTGCTCACCCTAAGTACTTTGATTCATTTAATCCTCACAACAAAATGAGATCAATATTACTGTTATTTCCATGTGCAGATAAGGAAATAGAGATTGTTCAAAAACTGTTCAAGGAGACACAGATGCACAGACGTTGGGAAAGCCAAGATTTAAGCTTAAGGTTCAGAAAAAAACTTGTACCTTCATCAACTCTCCAGATTTCTTTCCCTTTTGTTTGGCAATACAGGGGTGGGGTGATGTTTAAACTCAGGACTTCATACGTGCTAGGCAGGCACTCTTTACCACTTGAGTCACTCCACCAGTTCTCCAGATTTCTTTAGTTCCAAGGATTTTACCTTTTCTCCATGTTCAGCCTATTGTGTTTCTGTGGAGCCATCATTTCCTTGTGTTCAGTTCCTTTGATGATTTTTAAGATTGTTTTGAAGCAAGGTCTCTCAATATAGCCCAGGCTGGCCTCAAACATTCAATCTTTTTTGTCTCAATGTCTTAAGTGCTGGGATTGTACCCATGTGCTGCCACACCAGGCTAATCCCCAGACTTCTGACTCCTAAAAACAGTGCTCTTGAAGCCAGACATGTTAGTGTACATCTGCTATCCCAGCACTCAGGAAGTCAAGGCAGATGGAGGATCTTGTCTGAGTCCAGCCTGGGCTACATAGCAAAATAGTGTCTCAAAACAAAACAAAGGAATGAATGAGGAGGGGGTGACTTCAACTATGATCTGTTGCAAGAACTTTTGTAAATGTACTCCCAGTACAACAATAATAAAAATAAATTTAAAAAAAAAAGGATCAAAAAACCAAAAAGGAATGAATTACTGGTATACGCAGCAACATGGATGAAATCTAAAGAACATATTGAGCAAAAGAAACCAGATACAGAGAAATACCTAGGGTTTAATTCAACTTTATGAAGCTCAGGAATAGACAAAATTAAGCTATAGTGATGCAAAGTGATCAGTGATGCTAGGGCTTTGGGGGAACTCGGGGGTGAGGGCAGGACTGACTGGGAAAGGGTCATGAGGGGACTTTTTGGGTTGGGTTGACAGAATTATTTTATGTCGTAATTGTTATAGTTACATAAGTGCTTGCTTGTCAAAATTCATCAAAGCAGACACTTTAAATGTGTAAATTTTATTGCATGTAACATATCTCAATGAAGTGTTGTGTTTTTTTTTAACTGACTCTTTGTTTTCATTACCATGTCAGTGTGATGCATGTGGTAGAGAAAAACATTTGCCATAGGTAAATACATGGCTGTCATGACTGACTATATTTCCCGTTTTTATGAAAGAAAAAAAAAGGATAAAAACCATTCTTTTGGGAGTTGAAGGTGAGGCTTAAATGGTAGAGCACCTGCTGAGCCCTGAACTAGGCCCTGAGTTCAAGCACCAGTACCACTAATGAATAAAAACCACTCCCCACAAAGAAAAAGACTGGTGGAGTGGCTCAGGTGGTAGAATGTCTGCCTAGTAAGACACTGAGTTCAACCCCAGTAAGACAAAAAGAAAAAAAAAAAACACTCATCTGGTTCTTGGTTCCTTGTAACTAGGAGGATCTACTTAACAGACAATAAATGTTCTACATGAACTTGATTCTGAGGAGATGAGACATAGGTCTCGTGTGGGTGATGCAGCTCTGG